CGATTAAAAATGTATACCTCCCTTCCCGAGCAAGTGACCCAGCGCCTGGTTTAGCGAATGGTTCTTGTTATGGATCCAAACGACAGCATCCATTACTGACCACAGGTTTCCACTACACTGAAGGTGTTTCTCACTTTTCTTTCTAATAAGCAAAGGTCTCACTCCAAGTCAATTGCCTCCAGTCATGCAGTTTCTCAGTAACTGTCTGCAAGCAGGTGCTATGGTTTTGACTGCATTTTATTACGATACCAAGGACAGATCACCTCTGTGATGTGTGTTTGATGTTCTACCTCATTCCCTCTCCCAAAGCTGTATCATTTGCTGTCTCTTAAAAATATGCAAGCAGGGCAATGCATTTGCAGTTCAAATGCACAGATGTCACAGCAGGCTGGCTTCCTACTGCTGTTATTGCAGGCAGAGGTGATGAGTAATGCCTCAAATCTATACTTCAAACATTAATACAACTGGACATATCAGAAGAGCTCATAGTGAGCTGACTGGCTCAGGTCATCTACCTGAATTAGCCTGAAAAAATTTACCAGTTATATCTCGGTGACACTAAACAGAAGGAAAAAATCCCAAACACGTAAAAGCAGTGTAAGATGCAGCTAGTTGAGCTACGACTTTGCAGAACAGGAACATATAACTTGTCAATTGTACTGCAGTGAGTAGCAGCATCTGCAGTAAAGTAGTGCTCACCTATTTCATTTAACTGCCCTTGCAATAGGCTGACAGACAAACAGTATTTTGAGGAAAACAGTGCATTAAATTTATATTCCAGTTCCCTGGTTTCCAACACTTACATACACCACAACATACACACCAGAAATGAAGTAGCTGCAGTACCCTTAAGCTAGAAAGTTACCATTAATKAAAACTACCCTTCCAATAAAYTAAATTCCAAAAAAGAASCCTCTTTTCCCTGCTTATGAAGAGACAGACTTCAGAATATATATTTCATTTTTTTTGGCAGAACACAAAGATCTTGCAACCAAACAGCACGAAGCACAGGCCACCGAGGAGACTTCAAATAAAAATTCCCCTCATAGAAGCAGCTGCCAGGATTCATTTCACCTTGATGATACTGTATTATAATAAAATTCATCCAAACAAAAGAGAAGATGCAGATAACTTTTACAGAAACATAAATAAAACACACTGAGATAGCAAATTTCAGATTGATTATTTTCTTTTAATTAAAGGAAGGATATTGCTAACTAAAGGTATGAAATTTTACTGATGCCATATGGTTGCAAAGGTTCTCCATTGCTTCACCTCCCCGCCCTGAACTCACCTTTTCCAGAATCATCTTCAGAGATAATTCTACTTGGTTTGAAAACAAAGCGTTTCTCTCCTCAAACTATAGAGTAGTAAAAGTTGTTCCACTGATGCTGTTAAATCCTACTGTATATCAAGGGGAAGAACTGACAAGTCGATATAACTGTGGATCCAGATGTCCTCTCAATAACTCTGCTTCACATGGGGCTRTTGCACCTTGCAGTAGCATCTCGTGCATTTTTCAGCTCCAACTCAYCCCCAAGGCCATTCTAAGCTTACAAGCACAGAGGAGCTTCTTTAACCTCAAGAAATTGCAAAAGAGATGTCAAGAGATGGAGGAATAGCCCATTTGTTATTAACAACCCTGGGATTTCACATTTCCTAGCGTATACAGGTCTTTGGTTGACTGCTACAAAGCTTTAAGAGAGGAAATGTTCTGCATATGTCCTTTTAATCTTTGCTACACATCACATGTCCTAGTATTCCTGGAACTACAGAAAGAGCAAAGCAAATGGGACCAGCTATCTGGGATGCATTTCACTAGTACAGTATTATTATTTCACCAGTACACCATTCCTYCGCTGGTCTCTGGGTGTGTCTACATGTTTTCCAAGCACTGATGCAGATTCTTTCCCGCCTCATTTCTGTTTTTCTCTCAGAGCTCTCCCCCTGCCTAMACATCACATGCAGTCCTAGAAAGGAGCGCAGCCAATCCAGAACTAACACTTCTTTAAGCTGGCTGGAAGTATCACCCRAAGGAAATCCTTCCAATGCTAACAACTTAGGCAAGGTAAAGCTAATTTACAGGTGTCTTTAATTTTAGGCTCCTCTTGCCTGAATCATGTCTACCACCTTAGTCATATAATAGATTTTTAGTCACTTCTTTACAGTTCTTTACTGCATCAGCAACCCTAAATAAAATCACTAATAGTTAGATTTACTATGGGACAGATWGAACCCAAATCCCCCAAACCTGAAGAATTTAGAAGAAAAATGGCCYGAGACTTTGCCTGCATTCCCAGCCTGACACTTAGCCTCTTCCAGGAAGAATGCCAACCGTACTGTGACACCGCAGAGGAATAATGAGGACTATTTCCAAGCAATATTCACTCATTCAGCTTAACTGATTCATATCTGAAACAACATTAGCATCCTAAGAGAGGACTGAGTACAACTGGAAGCRGCACAAAACCAGCTCTCCTCATAATCCTTAACCAATTCACAGTCAGTATTTGGTAGAAGTTGGTGACCAATTTCTTTTTAGTTTATAAACACAAAGCAACTTTCGTAAATCCAGGCACACTAAGTCATGGCACAGCAAGGCCAAAGTGCACTATAGGCAAGGAATAACATGCCACTTCATTGCTTCCCCTGGTAATAAGGCTTTCCATAATTGCCTGCTAAGAAAATATATCACAACATTAGCACAAAGGCAGTCAAGTCTGGAGCATCAATTTACCAGATGATGCAACTACAAGAAAGCAATTAYGGAAATGAGAAGGAAAGCTGCTATATCCCCTTCTTCTCGCATTAGCTTTGTTATTTTTCTAAAAATCAGAAGAGAAATTCTAATGATTACCTGGATCAACTACAAATTACATATATCATTATCCATATGTTGCTCTAAACCCTGCTTAACATAAGGCAGTATCACTAGGCTTCTTTCAGATGCAGCAGAAAAGAAAGATTTTGCCAGGTGTTATCCTGAAATACAAGAACACAACCTAGACCTAAACAAATTATTTAAAAGATAATACAGTATTTGGTGCATAAAATAGGACCATGCTCATTATATTACTTCTATATTCCGCAGACTGAAATCCATGTTGTAAGCACCTACTGACTGTTCATCCTTTCCTATGTATCAATTAATGCTTGCCAAATTTGCCAGAGTTCACCATTTCCCACTGCCAAACCTACACAAAAAAGGCATTCATACATACATTTCCTTTCTAATCTTTTCTATGCWGTTAACTTATTTGTCTTTAAATGGCAACATCTAACAAATGTCTCTATTTGGTAAATATATTTCTTCTGATAAGAATTCCTATGGCTCTACTCAGCAGGAGTGATGGTCATCTTATTTTCAGGGCACATTTCAGCATTACTTCACTTTCAGCATTGTCAGTACTAGATCACCAGCAGGATGCTTGGAATTAGCACCCAGCCAGTGCCTTCCACCACATCCACCATGAAGGTAAATTTGCCCTTTGGGGCTGAGTGTTCTTGGCAGCTCTTCTCCAACTTCTGCAAAATACTGGAGATAAAAAAGCAACTGCTTCTGTGTGCAGATACCTCAGCCATATCACATGGTTTGATATGTTCACCATTACAGCAGGAAGCAAATACAGTATTCATTTAATTGTCCTCAAAACATTCAGAACTGGTAAAAAATCCAGACTTCCATTTATGCACTCAGAATTAAGGTGCACCCCCCCACTCTTAAAAAAAAAAAAAAAACCACGAAGAAAAACCCCAACATCTCTCTGCTACAGAAGTTCTCGAACCCCTATTGGGACSTAAAAGGAAGTGTCTGATATCACATTAAAAAAATATAACAAGGAAACCAAAGCAGCTCTGTACTGAGCTAATGTGCTAACTGCTAGTGACCATATTCTACAGCTTTGTTAGATTGAACCTGCAGTATGAATTTATTCTACAAGAATAACAGGGATGGATACAGTGCACCTGTGTATCAGGAATAATGATCTGAATGCCCTTCTCTGTATACATTTCTATGTTCTAAGCTTTGAAAATATACCGGCTTTTAAAATTGCCCTTATGATGAAGATGCAAGTTGCATCTGTAATKACTGCCAGTACATTCTCATGATAGCAAACTTGTGCTCTGCTTGATTTCATGCGGTAGTCACAACACAGATGATATTGTACCTGAAATAGAATGTATTAGTCAAATTATTAGGACAATGCCACTTAAGGAATCAATCTCGCAAGGCCTATTTGCATATTTTAATTAGCACATTAACACATACAGGGAGAATGGCCATCAGAGCCTAAACCCTTTTAAACAGAATCATATATAGGTCTTAGCATCACCACAAGAAGTTTCAAGGTGTATTCACAGGGCAGTAGATGCCACGCATGCCAGTGACCGAGTCTCATAGATCTCTCCCAGCAGACAAATCCACATTTTATAATGGGGCATGAATGTTTTGAGGCCTTCTTRTTTATCCACATACTGTACCATTGATTGGTTACTCAATACAAAACCCTCTTTGTTCACCTTAGCTCTCAAGCTCCAATTCCAAACCAAAAAAGCAGCTGTTCAAAGTTTAAGTCTCTTAAAGAGACAGCTCAAGGGRTAAACTCAATATCTGATTATTACCAGGAAGCCTTTCCTTGGCCAGGATTCCAGACACTATCCTTTACCAAATTAGATGTAAATAGCACAAAATACAAATGCTCCAGCATTAAGAGTGTTACCTGACAGGCAAGTAAGATGTTGCAGAGAGCTTATCAACAGTACCTTGCTTTTACACAAAGCTCTGATCTTGCTCTCCACTGATTCAGAATCCTGCTTCTGGGCACCTACTTTACACACTTATGAAGTGTTCAAGGATATTCCAGAAAGATGTTTGCCTAGYTTCTCTCCTCTCCTCACTAAAGGGAGTATGAAGTGAATCTTGCACAAATTTACGCTGTTTCTCCCCTCCAATGAAGAAGTTGTTTCCCRTTACATGGAAGACTGAGTGCGTCTCTTACCACTGTTATCCTGTAGGAATGCAGCTTTAGGGCAGTGATTTTCCCGTCACACCTCGGTGTCAGCCTGCCATGTCCACTCCTGTAAAAGCAACAAGTAGAGATGCTCTAGYACAGCTGTCCATTTACTTCATTAACAAATTAGGAGCCCACATTTTAACCTTTCTGAACTGAGCTTATAAGCTGAAATACACTTCATATTGTATATTTTCAGTGTGTACAATTGAATATAAACAGTGTTTAGACATTAGAGCAATTTATTGTATTTAGAGATAAAGATATATTACCTTAATAGATAGGCCTTTAAGGTATTTCTGAATTTGGAAACAAATCAGCATGCAATTAGAAAATTAAAATGCCTAGGAGTTACAACCCACAAAAAAAAAAGAAAGCCCTCGGTCCCAAGAGCTAAAATCCTGTCGCTGCTTGTCAGACACAAGGTGCCAAGCTGTTAGCTCGCCCTGTAAAAGCTCCTATTTGCTCCATGGCTGACCCTCACCATTCCATCTTAGCATGARAAATGGCTTTTCAGCTCAGCCTGCTTTTAAGTGCCACCCGTCAGCAGAGGAAACAGATTATTCCCATGACCAGTCTGCTGCTTTGCCAAGTTCTGCTGGCTCCGGTCCCTCAAGAGCACCCACAGCTCCCCAGGGGAAAGTAAACCCTCTAAACCTGTGTCTTGCTCTGACTGAAGTGCAGAATGAAAAGCAATTACTGCCTCATGCCATTTGTAAGGAGCTGAGGTGCAAAGACAGCTGGATCATTTATCAGGCTCCAGCTTGCTGTGCCAGTCAGTAGCTCACAGGGCACAGCTAAAGCTAAGCCATGTATTTAAAATATGAGGWGAGGGGAATGAGTAACAGAATATTTTTGCATAACAGAGCCATAAACAAACCAACTGTGCTTTGGAAGTCCTCTTAAAAATACACATGCACACACTTGTCACAGATAACACAGTAAAGGTTATTTCACACTGTCACCAAAACAGTCCTAAGGGCTGCTGTGCTTTCCTGTAAGGCATCACTCCCAGCAGTTTGCTGGCATTCAGCAATCACGAACAGGTTTCTCTTTCCAAAGCAAAGCAGGTACTCTTTGATGCATAGCAGCATTAAAAAAAATCACAAAGTTAGAAAATGAAAACAAAATGCAGCACAGAAGATTCCCCACAATGGACTAGCACTAAACACTGCTGTATTCCAAGGATTCAAGTTCCTTTCCTCTCTTTTTTCCCCCTCCTCTCCTACAGAAAGGTAACCTAACAGTGACAGGTCACAGGACTGCCAGTTCATCATTCAGATTCAGCCTGGAAAATGAAAGTTTCAGCTGAGCAAATACTGTCCTTCCTAACTAGGCAGCTGACATAAGAGTGTCAAGAGGGAGATGATGGCCACCACTTCCCCGTGCTCTGAATTCAAAACAGTGCAGTGAGATTCTAAGGAGAAACACAGGCAACTGGCCTTAACTCTTTTCACACCCAGTTTCTTGGAATAGTTTCTGAAATTTATATCCCCAAAAAAATTCTTGTAACCACTCAAAAGCAAAGGTTTCCGTGCTAAGTTAAGGATAACTAGACCTATTCAAGYTCATCTGACAACAGTTCTGCCACAACCTCATTGTCCCCATCACAGACACCACTTTCCCCATGTAGTAAAACTACACTGAGGAAGAATTTGCAGAGATTATGAGGAAACRGAAGATTATTGGAAGTGGTGCATCACTAGACCACAGAAATCCAAATTTGCATCCCTCCTTTTAAAATACCGCTGACAACAGACTCCATACCCAACTATACCTTAAATTCCTAACTCTTAGCAAGAATTAGACTCTTAGATCGCACTTGTGGGCCCTGTAGATTTGATGCCAACCTTCAACTTGCCAAGTCTAAGTACCACTTTTGACCAAYACTGACCTCTCCTCCCTTGTAGGCCTGCAGAAAGGTCTTGGCTTCTCTGCCTTTAGTGACAAACTGACCAACATGTCAATTTTTTTCCTGTACTTCCTGTCAACCTCAGTTCAAATSGAAGGATCAGGAAGGCAGCTCTGTCCCTTCTTTAAATTCTAGACATATTATTTGTCTTGGAATTCGTGACAAATTGCAAACTGAAAACTATGCACCTCTCCTACCAAAACCCAAAAGGAGAGACAGCCCATTAACATTTGGATTTTGACRAAAAACTAGTTTCAGCTTCCTCTCCTTCAAATTCAGCAGACACTATTTATGTTAATTTTATCATTTCCCAATAGTTATACTATATTCCAAATGAAGCTAATCTCTGCTACTTAAAAATAATAGCTTGGRACATGAATAAAAGGGACATTTAAGACCAAGAATTCATTCCCTAATCATTTGGGTCTTCAGCTGTCTGGCAGACCTGAGAATAAACCTTTCTATCACTCTAATACGGTCACACCAGCAAACTGAAGGTGAATTCAAGCCTCTCTTTCCCTCCATTTGTTCTGCATCTTGTGCCTTATGCCAAGGCTGTTAGTTATTGATCTTACTGCTCTGGTTAATATGCAGACATACTTGTGATTTTCTTGGGCAARTAGTAATCAATCCTTTCTGCATCTAACAGAAGGGAATAAAGGAAGGATTCTCATTGAACTTGTAAAGATACATGTATATTCTGAGCACAGCAAGATTAATACTCCTACATTTATGATATTAAGAAATATTCCCTACCCTAGAGGCTGGTCCAATAAGAATTCATAAACTGACTGCATTTATTAAACTAGTCAGATTTTATCATCTTTCCCTAAGCAAGCTGTGGTAACCACGTCACCCCCACTGAGGAATAACTCATGCAAAACTCATTCGGRTCTGGCCTCTTGTCATAAGGGCATCTGGATCTGGAGCAGGGACAGGAATTTTATTTTCTTTTTCATTTCATACAGGCTTCATCTTTTCTGCTTTTTGCCTTTAGATCACTGCTGCCATTTATTCCTGAAAAGAACAAAACCAACACTTGCATTTATTATATCTAATACCTGCCAAAGATTTCTTTTTGTGTCTGATTTGGACATAATAACCATKGATAATGAACTTACTAAATTATTCTAATGATGGAGGAGAGGAAGGGAAGTGAATAATATCTTGCATCAATCGCACAGGTAGGGTTAATGATGCCAAGAGCCACCTTGGCAGGAATGTCATTTAGAGTGTATTAGTCCAGCATTAGGGAACTATATGATCACTCCAGCAGACCCAGTTAAAAAGAAAACACATCTAAAAAACCCAAGGCAACTTTCTTGAGAAATCTGGTATGATAATGACAGGAAACARAAATGTAAACAGCAGCTTTCTACTCACCCCCTTACTATTTATCCAATAAAGACAATTTGGGGAGGCTCTTCACTGTAACTGAACAACAATTTTCACTACGCAAACTCTGAACTTGGAGGGTTATTTTTAAAGAGAAAGGCAGAAAAAAATGACACAAAGAAGGCTCATATASATTCTTTCATACAAAAGCTGACCAAATGTCCCATGTGACACAGGCAAGCAAAAAGACTCCATTTATGCTGCTCTGACACTGACAATTACAGCTGAAATTTATTCTTAGATGTCTGATTGGAAGTTGGSAACACTTCCTATGTAATGCTCATTTCACACAGCTCTGCTATTTCGGCATTTTTGTCTCCCAATTTACGTAACTGATCTATTTAATCTGATCCTTGGGAAGACTGGAGTCAGTGTTGGATATGAAACCACCACCTATGTACAAACAAGAATCGACTGAAAAGCAAAACTACATCCACCAACTTCCAATTACACAAAATTTCTACAAAGATAAAAAGTTMAGCGATATGGTCAGAGACTCACTACTTGGGTTTTCTATCTTCTCACAAAATTTGGCATTTGCTACCTAACTCAGCATGGGTCAGAGCATCGTTGGATGCACACAGCCCTGTCACTGTGAACATGGCCAGTGTTATCTAACGTCGCTCCCGATGYAGTACCTGAGCACATGCACATTTCCCCCCAGCCCACCTGAGACATAAGCCTCATTTGAAATGCAACTCTTGTCAGCACATAAATCATCCAGATTAAAATCAATGTTATCTTCAGGGAGAATGATTAAATTTTCTGTAAGCAAGTCAGCTGATCAAGTTATTCTGGAACATCATTTCAAGGCTAATTTTTGCCATGTATCCATCTGAACTATTCCATGCTTATTTGCTAGTGTGCAGGTTAAGCGCCTTCTCAAGGAAGGAAGGGTCCCCCCTGCCTTGTATCACAACTCAAAATCTAAACTGGCAGCCCAAACTTCTCTCAACTACATAGAGCATTACTGATTTCAAAAAAATCAACCTGCCCAGGCCACTTCTCAGCCCCTGCTACCAGCATGCAGCCTCAAAGGAAGAGAAACAACCTGGGCAAGTGCAACAGAAATGCCATTCTCTTTTTGAAGTATCGCACTTTCCTAAGAAGCTGCAGTAGTAAAATAGCCAGGTTTCTGCTCTCTCCCAAAGCAGTAACAATGTCATTCTGAATAAAGAGACACAAGACAGTATTTGTACAGCACTGACAACAGCTTCTACACATTCTGTGATCTAACTCGACAGGAGAAACAATGAAATAAAAGCAAAGCAGCAGATAAAGCAAACAGCACATGAAGGTGAGGAAGAATATCCAAAAGTGTYATGAAGAAATCAAAAGCAACAGCAGCTGAGGCAAGTCTGAGTTATGTCCTGCTTAGAGAGGTCTTCACCACAGCAGTGTAGCATCAGGGGTAGTTTCTTTCATCCCAGCCGTTGCTCTTCCACCTGCCCTGAAGTGACCACAGAAAGCACTCAGCCAGCGAGACCTGTATTATGTAACGTCTGCCACGCTCTTCACTCCAGCACTCCACCTATCACATCGTATTCCCACTCCCCGAGCCGACGGAGCTGCTGTAAACTATGTGATCTAGTGATTGTTAGCAAATTGGGTCCACAAGACTGGTCACAAGCACCCACGCGAAWGTGCCAAGTCCAGCCAAAGAGTTAATACCAGGCAGGAGTATTTCTGCCATTGCCATCACTAATTCAACACATGCACTGAATTGGAGACCACGAAACTGGAGAAGAGTTTGAGGGACT